AATATAATAAGCGCCAAAGCGTTTTCGAACCTGTCGTCAGACCATTCGCCAGTGCTAATAACTCTTCTTCAAAGCACAAAAACCACAGATCACACCCTCAGGCTGACGTCGCACAGAACCAACTGGTTAAAATATAAAAAGTATGTAAGCTCACACATCAAATTAACCCCTCACTTCAACATCGAAGCGGGCATCGACTGCTCTACCGATGCTCTTGAAGAAGTATTTGTGGAGGCAGCCACTATCTCAACACCACAAGGCAGGGACGTGCAAACCAACCACTTCAAAACTAATCTGCAAATTGAACGGTTAGTCCTAGAAAAGAGGCGCCTGCGACGTGCCTGGCAAACAAACAGATCGCCGTCATCAAAACAACGTCTTAAGGAAGCCACTCGCTCACTAAATCGAGCTCTAAAGCAAGAAACAGAAAATGCACAGCTGCATTACATTAAAAAACTATCGCCAACCAGTACAAAACATCCTCTGTGGAGGGCTCACCCAAATCTGAGCTCACCAATCGAAACAGTCACTCCGACAAAAAATTCATCTGGCAGCTGGGTCCGCAGCGACGAAGACAAAGCCGAAACTTTTGCTTTACATCTCAGAAACGACTTCCAGCCGAACCCTGCCCCTGGTTCATTTTTCCTACCACAAATCGAATCTGAATCTATTTCCCTACCACCATTGTTTCAGTCAAAGGAGATCGCGAAAGTCATTGGGGAACTAAAACCGAAAAAGGCCCCTGGCGGTGACCAAATAACCCCAAAAATGTTAATTGAACTTCCAAACTCTGCCATTGAGGTTATTTGTAAGCTCTTCATTATAACTCTCGGCTACTATCCGAAAAAATGGAAAAAATCTATTATCATTATGATACCAAAGCCCGGAAGAGACCACACAATTCCGTCATCCTACAGACCAATTAGTTTATTATCGTGTCTGTCTAAGCTGTTCGAAAAATGCCTTCTAACTCGCATAACACCATATCTAGGAGCACACAATGTTATCCCTGCTCATCAATTTGGATTTCGTCAAAACCATGGAACAATCGAACAAGTTAACAGAATAACATCAGAAATACGCACAGCCTTTGAGCATCGGGAATACTGCAGCGCAATATTCCTCGATGTATCTCAAGCCTTCGATGGAGTATGGCTAGATGGCCTCATGCACAAAATCAAAACACACTTACCTGATTACACTCACAAGCTTCTTGAGACGTATCTATACAACAGGACCTTCGCAGTAAGGTGCAATACAACAACATCCGACGACTACATTATCAAAGCTGGAGTCCCGCAAGGAAGCGCGCTAGGGCCTACTCTGTTCCTCCTATAAACAGCGGATATTCCCACGAACGAGCAGCTAACAACATCTACGTTCGCTGACGACACCGCAATTTTAAGTCACTCGAGGTGCCCAGGCCCAGCCACAACACAGCTAGCAAACCACCTCCTCGTAGTAGAGAGGTGGCTATCTGATTGGCGGATTAAAATAAATGAACAAAAATGTAAACACATAACGTTTACTCTCAACAGGCAAACATGCCCTCCACTATTATTGAATAATACGCAGATTCCCCAAGTCAACGATGTAACGTATCTCGGCGTCCACCTTGACAGACGACTAACCTGGAGAAGACACATCGAACGCAAGAAAGTACATCTAAAACTAAAGGCCAGCAGCTTCCACTGGATTCTTAACGCTCGTTCGCCCCTGCGTCTGGACTACAAGGTTTTGCTCTACAACTCCACTCTCAAGCCCATCTGGACATATGGCTCCCAGCTATGGGGGAACGCCAGCAGAAGCAACATAGACATTATACAGCGCCTTCAATCGAAAATCCTGCGAACTATCACTGGGGCACCATGGTATATTCGCAACCAAAACATCCACAGGGACCTAAGCATTCTTACCGTAAAAGATGAAATAGACAAACAAAAAGCGTCCTACAACGAAAAACTCTCTGTGCACCCCAATCGCCTCGCAAGAGGCTTGACTTGGGTTTCCAGCCGATCCCGTCTACAACGCAACGACCTGCCAAGCCAGCTATAACTGTCGGGCCCCTTTAGCACAACACCAGTCATATGACTGTGAGTTAGATTAATTAGTCCAAGATTTGATACACTTATTGTTGGTATCCCAAGGGAAGATTCAATAAATAAACAGCAAAGCTTATAAAAATAAAAAAAAACCTCCTTTTGCTTCTTCCAGCTGCTTGTCCTGTTCAGGGGTTAGGTTATGTGCGTCTATTGGTTCTGTTATGGATTCCACCTGGTATAATGATTCCAATAATATTTGGACAAACGAGTATCAGCAATCAACGCGTTAACCCCTTGTACGAGATGTTGTGTTGAATTTCCAACGGTCTGCTGGTTTCCAATGTCGGTTTCTAGCGGCACATTACCCTGGTGAGTGTTTACTTTTTCCGTTATGCCTTTTAATACTTTTAGTGATTTCATTTTAGAAATTTATTTATTTTTAGATTGGGCGCCGTTGTCAGGATCTGCTGTTCGCCCGGTGTAGTCGCCGGCTAGTCATCGAATGTCCCAAAGACGGGAACAACCGAAATTGTATCCTGACACAACAAAAACAAAACGGAATTTTAACTTGGACAACGGTTATTTTCGCGACGGACGGAACATCATGGCTGGACTACACCAGTATAATCGTAGTCCTTGGAGTCCCACCCAACCATTAGTGTATCCTGAATCATACAGCGGACACAACTACCAACTTTGTGTTGTGGCTCATATTTAATCGCCTGTTTCATCTCACTCCCCCAACACGAATCTCTACTCAGATGAGTTCATTTCGCTAGCACGTTATATTTCAAAATTTTGTCTTAAGCTGTAACATTTGTTAAGACTACCTACGGTACCGAAGGACTTTTACAAGGAACATGCATACACAAATAAGTACTAAATAATATTGCTAGTATGTGAATGTGAAAACTTCTTCTTTTCCTGGTGTCTCGTCTTCTTGCTTTATTCCCTCAAGATTATTTGGTAAAAGTCGTAATTTTTGTATATACATTTTTTTGAGAATATAACTGTCGTTAGTCACTGAATTAAGCCCTTTACTTCCTCTTGCAGGAAATTTTCTAACTCTCTCCCTTCGCCCAGAAACCACTTAACATTTTTGGGTTTAAACCTCGGTTCATTTTGGAGTCAACCGGTTTTAAGAACCAGTTCCCTGATTTCACTCATAACAAGTGTTGCTGTTGGAGTCGATAATGGGAGAGACTCTTTCGGTAAGGACGATAGAGCGATAGTTGCAGCAGCGGGTCGCATATGGCGGACCATCTGGGATTAATCCCGGTTCTCTTACAGGTTACCTTATATGGCACCCAGGGGTCCAATGACCCACTTCTATGTAATATGGCCGGGGAGGAACAACGATGATAAGCAAATTAAGATAGTCGCAGCAATATTGTCCAAGCAGACAGATGCAGTGGCAGCAGTAAAAACATAATAGAAGTGAGTGATAGAACAATGTAGCTTTTTCTTTTATTTTTAAATAATTATCCGTAGGGCAATCGCGGTCCCAACACAACAGGCCCCGGAATATTTATTTGGGAGTTCCATGAACGTATGCACAGTTTCGCAGTAACTGAGAGCAACAATTTGGTGATGCAACCGGTGTCCGTTCGTCCCGTTTAGAAAAACTTGGACCAGCTAAGGTCGCCTTCCCCGGTCGCCGCCGACGTCATCTAACTTTCCCGGTGAGTCCGTTCCGTACTATTACGTCCACGATGGAATTGACGTAGTCGCGAGGAGTGGCTCCGTCCGACCGATAATGGGTGGTGTCCCGGCAGAATCATACGGGCGTCCTTGGTTGTGTGGGAGCACTTGGGTAAGTCGACGATAGCCACCAATTTTTATATATATATACCTTTGTTTATGTTTTTTCTTAGTGATGACAGATAGTTATGTGACGTGAGACAGCGAAGTTATCGATCTTTTATGTTGCGAGCTAAGGCATTACGGGTACTCCGCCCTGGGGTAAAAATGGGCTGGCGGCACTGCCACCGAAAAAAATGCAGTTCGTAACACAAGCCTACTACGGTTCGTAGGCCACCACAGCCCTGAGATTAATGCTTGGTAAATATGGCTTGCTAGCCGGTCACTGTTATTTAAGGTCCTTCGCATGGAAGTCTCCCAAAATACAATAAGATCACCAACGCTTTTGTGACTCGAAATTTTGTATAATATCTGCAAAACTTGGAGTTTCTATTCTTAGAAGTCACTTAGAACTTAGTTTCTCTTGTATAATTCCTATCCCGCTGAGTATCGAATCTCTCATGCTTCAAATTGTATTGTATCGCTCCTTTCTCATAAGCCTGATGTATCTTTTCTTTAAAATTTTTCCTGTATAGCCGTTGTCTCACCTTCATTCAGAGCATTCAGCTTGTAAGCCAGTGAGATATCTTTACCATGGGCAAACATATGTTGCCCGAACATGGCAAAGTACGAAGAGGTTCCGGTGCTGTTATGGATGATCTCACCAATGCTTGTACGTCCGCTAAGTGTTCATCCCATCGAGCATGTTAGTGGACGGCTTTTCATCGAGTTCGACTTGCCAGAACTTTTCATCAAGGTCCACTTGCAAACGCGTGCTTTAGATCGATACTGCTAATGAAAATCGTCTTTTGTACACGGCTTAAGATCGACTCAATTTTTTGTAATTGGGTAAGAATTTTTTACTGTAAGTGTTTTCAGTTTCCTTGCGTCTAAGCATAGCCTATTCCTTCCAGATTTCTGTACCAGCGTTGTTTGGTTATTCCAAGTACTTTTACTGAACTCGACGACTGCTAACCGTAGCATTTCAGCTATTCCAACAAACAGCAGTCCTTGTTTTGCCTGGAAATAAGCTCTTCCTGACGGGTACGTCTCCTTCAACTTACTGGATCGAGTGTTCTTCTACCTTGGTAAGTCCTAATCCATGACTTTTGAATGTCAGAAACCGTCCTTTTGCTTCTTCCAGCTGCTCGGCTTGTTCAGGGGTTATGTTATGTGCGTCTATTGGTTCTGTTATGGATTCCACCTGGTGTAATGATTCCAATAATATTTGGACAAAGGAGTATCAGCAATCAACGACTTAACCCCTTGTACGAGAAGTTGTGTTGAATTTTCCCCATTGCTCGGTGCAGCGTACCACCTGCTGATTTCATGATCGATTGTGACCTCTTTAATCGCAGTCCTAACTCTTTCACTATTTCTGTGCAAGCTCACTAATGCTCCGGAATCCAAGAGACCCACGAACTCCAGGTCTTCTATAGTGACATGTGCGAATGGTCTATTGTCGTCTTCCACAGCCTCTCCGATGGCAGAACATATCATCCTTCTTTTTGTCTTCCGCTGCTGACTACTTCTACAGGCTCTGGTAATTTTTGGAGAAATGTTCCGGTCTGGGATACGTGTCCCCAATATTCGATTTATGACCTCTTGGTAGTGTGCTTCCCGAACTGCCATAGGTTCACTTCTCGACCATTTAATGATAAATATTCGTATATAACTATCATAATCTTCCTAATTTTATTCATCTTACAGCTATCTGTATCATTATACATGCAATCTAACGAGGCTTTCATTTGTTCTTGGCAAACGGATTGGAGCGTAGTTCCTCGTTATTGCCCAAGTTCCTCCCACCGTTTTCCGATTGGCATCGTGCACACCTTGGAGTCCTCACACCAGCTAGTCCACACTTAGGCAGAATACCATTAATAGCTCAGACTCACACGCTTTGAATAGGTGTCCCGAAGTTCCACAATTCCAGCATGTGAGTGGCTGTCGTTCTCTGTTGTTCTCCCAGTGTCTATCTAACGCCTTCACTTCCTCTTGTTCCATAGGTCTTCGCAGGATCTCTGGAGCTCCGTGGCTTATGAGAACCAGAGACATCGAACGGGATCTCAATGTGCCCAAACTTGGAGACAAGCTGCAGGAACTCTGTTGGAAATATATGGAAAGGCTAAATGAGCACCCCAACAGCCTAGCCAGAAAACTTGGTACCGCTGCTATAAACAGCGCTGAACCAAGCAACCGAGTCAAAAGAAGACTAAAAAGACATTACCTTCAAGACCTAACGGACCGGGTTTTGACCTAGCAACATCACCACCCTCAATATTAATATCAAAAAAAATAAATATAACGAAATTATTTCTTGCCTTAAGCAACCCTTAGACTAAGTATTGTACTATTTTTGTAAAAACTGATTAGATAAAGCTGCCAGTCGGGTAGCAGTGTGCTAATCCTAAGAATAAAATTTCCACATTAATAAAAGTAAAAAAAAACAAAAAAGTTCCATAGGTAAACTCCAACTTGTTCCGGACAAAGCTCATCCCCTTGCTCAGTCCCCATATTCGCAGCTGGCCGACTTTAAACGCTGAATCGCCTGCATTCTGTCGACGCAGATCTTGACCTGGATTAAACCTGTGCTGTGTCCTGCCGTTTCCGGGAAAAAGTGCTGGCGATGTCGTGTGAGACCCATTTCATCTTCCTTGCTCCTGATCGGTCGACCAGGAGGCTTTACCGATACCCTTCCTTTGCTTTCTAAATTCTCTGCGCCACTCCGCCATGCAGTCATTGATGTCCTCCAGAACCGCATCTTATCCTGCTGCATCTGTTCTTTGAAGTCCTTATGTTCCGTCGTCATTCCCTACCTGGAAAGTCTGATGTGCTTGACCAAGGGCTGGAATCACCCCTGACATTATTTTAAATGGCAGAGACATTTGTACGGTCCCTGTCCAGCCTGATGACCACTAGCTTCTCCCGGACTTCTACCTCCTTCAGGAATCTGTTCCCATAGTAACTCCATGCATTCCGGACCAGATATATTTTACAACTTCTCTTGATTTGTTTGCGAGCGAGTTACTGGCGAAGTCATTCTTGCTGGTCCCGTATTCCAAATGAACTCGAAACTTCTCCTTAATTTTCTTCCGATTTTAGTTCTATCCCTATCACTATTTGGCATATCCAATCTCCTTTCTTATTTATATTTGTATACCCGTTACTCGTAGAGTAAAAGAGTATACTACATTCGTCGGAAAGTATTTAACAGGCAGAAGGCAGCTTTTCCGACCCCATTAAGCATATATATTCTTGATCAGGATCACTAGCCGAGTCGATCTAGCCATGTCCGTCTGTCCGGATGAACGCTTAGACCTCGGAAACTATAAGAGCTGGGCTATTGAGATTTGGCATGATTCCTTAGCTTCTTCTTCTGCCACGCCCACTCTAACGCCCAAAAGCCGCCTAAATCTGTGGCGCCCAAAATTTTCATGCTAGAAAAAACTTAAATGTATTAGTCTCGACAATATCCATCGATTGATTCAAAAAATGTTTGACACGCCTACTCTAACGCCCACAAACCGCTCAAACCTGTGGCGCCCAAAATTTTCATGTTAGAAACAAAATTTTAACTAAAACGTATTATTCTCGTCAATACCTATTGATTGGCCGAAAAAAAAAGTTTGCCCCGCCCACTCTAACGCTCATAACACATAACCACATATTGAGATCAGGGGTAGCTGGCGCATTTCAGTCCCGCTTTGCTGCTTGCATATCTCCATTTCCTTTTTGTCCCTTCAGCTGAGTAAAGTATCTGAACGTATAGCGTTCTTCCTTGTTTTATTTTTGCTTTTACTTCAAGTCTTTTCTAATCTATTTAATTTATTTTATAATCTTTTTTTTTATCTTTCAGTCTCTCCCTGCAATTTGCTGGGCATCGATGTCACACTTTGTTAACAGTGTACATGGACCACACTTACTCCACACAACGACAACAGATTTAGATAAGTTAATACGAAATTACATTACTACAGACAACAAATTAAAAAGATAATTTTTTATTTTTGATATTGATGATCCATCTAGCCCGGCTTTGCATGTTCCTTATTTACTCGGTCATGACGGTTCTCACTTTCTCCCCAAGGACTGTGCTTATCAGAAAGGACCTTCCAGGATACTACCCACTGTGGACTCTACCTTCTTCGCCTGCCAACGGTCCACACAGCTGGTTTCCGATGTCGGTTTCTAGTGGCACATTAACCTGGTGAGTGTTTACTTTTTCCCTTATGCTTTTTATGCTAGTCATCGAATGTCCCAGATAGGGGAACAACCGAAATTGTATCCACGCAGCAGACACACAACGGTTATTTTCACGACGGATTTAGTAGTAGTCCTTGGAGTCCCACCCAACCATCAGTGTATCCTGAATCATACAGCGGACACATCTACCAACTTTGTGTTGTGGAATATATTTAATCGCCTATTTCATCTCACTCCCCCCAACACGAATATCTACTCAGACGAGTTCATTTCGCTAGCACGTTATATTTCACAAATTTTACAATGAACATGCATACATAAATAAATACTAAAAAATATTGATAGTATTTGTTAAAAATATATAAATAATTTAAATGAATATAATAATATAATTTTAAATAAACACAAATTTCGATAAATTAATGGGGCGGGTCAAATTATGTTTATCAGTCTATTTTAATGTGAAATTTTAAGATTCGTTGCTCGCAATTTCGCTTGAAGTTTAATTTCTTATTTGTGTAAGAAGATTTTTATTTAAGATCTTATGTGTGAAAACTTGTTCTTTTCCTGGTGGCTCAGCTTCTTTTATTTCCCATAAATTCTCTGCCCCTGATCCTGTATTAATCAGTCAAGATTATTTGGTAAAGTTGTAATTTTTTTATATAACATTTTTTGCTAATATAACCATTGTTAGCCACTTAATTAAGCCCTTTACTTCCTCTTACTGCAATCTGTCTCACTCTCTCCCTTCGCACAGAAACCTCTCAAAATTTTCGGGGTTAAACCTCTGTTCATTTTGGAGTCACCCGGCTTAAAGAACCAGCTCCCTGATTTGACTCTGTAGCTCGACCCTCTGGACTCACGAGTCGTCGATAGGCGGTTACCGAAAAATGCCAATCGATATCTGGCCTAACGTAAACAAGATGGAGATATAACTCGCACAGTCGCGGGGAACGGCTCCGGCTGACAGAGAATGGGTGTAAATTCCACTGGGACATTGTTGGCAGAGTGGGTGCGCCTGGCTAAGTCATTAATAGCCACAAAATTTACAGTTTCCCTCACTTATATTTGTTTTTTCGTTTGTTTACCATTTTGTATAAGTAAGTTACACATGGTTAGTGCTGTGGCATTAGGAGTTTTCCACCCTGCTAGCGGCACTGCAAAAAAAAAGAACTGCAGTTCGTAACATGTTTTTTTTTTAACTAAACAAAATTAAAATAAAAAAAACATTTTCTTCCAAAAAAACAAGTATTAAGCCGCCAAAGACCCTTATTTTTACCTTTTTACCCTTCTGGTTTCGAAATAGGCGAATAACACAAGAAAAGCAGGAGAAAATAAGTAAGTAGTGATATTTTCTGGCTACTCGGATTAGGCAACACAGTTTTTCCCCTTTCTGAGGAACAGATTTTCAACACCTTCCTGTAATAACTGCTTTTTCACTGCCTTTACAACCCCATGCAGTAGCTGTACCACCCTCACCCCACCCACAATCTCTCCAGCAGCGCTTTATAGAAGGAATTATTAAAACTTTTTACAGCCCAAGGGCTGAAATATAAAAGTTTTTGTTACGTATGGCACACATACGAGTATATCAATCCGGCCACCCCGATTTTTTATTTTTAAAGTGCATAGTACCACTTTGAGATCAAACACAACTTGTTGAAGATTTATCCTCATACCTATTTCAACAATATTACCAATCATTCGCCGATAGTTTACACTAAAACAAGAGAATACGCTATAGTCTATGGCCTCGACTATTAGATACCCGTTACTCAGCTTACTCAGTGCGAGAGGGATGAAGATATGCTTAAAGAAGCTGTGATTTTTTCCCTTACACACCTAGTTGATAGCGCCACCTATCTTCTTCTTCTATATCGCCACTTGGCCTACAGCGCCAATTAGCCTACTGCACCTCTAGCGGCTTGGTGGCGTATTAGTGAAAACAACTTATTTGCTGCTTGTGGTGTGCAATCTCGGTTGAATTGCAAAACATTGATTATTATTTGGATATAACTTTTTAATGAACGGTCAGAATTTAATAATTTTTGCATGATGACAGGTATTTATAATATAAATAAACGCTCAATTAAATTTTTACAAGATATTAAGAAATGTGGGCGCTAGACGGGTTTTAGTGTTATATTCGTTTGTGGGCGAAACAAAATTGCGCTGCGCAGAAGGCCAAAAAATCTGTATGCCAAATCCCAACAATTTCGCTTTCATAGTTTCCAAATCTCTTACGGACAGACGGACATGACTAGATCGACTCGGCTTGTGATCCTAATTAGAATATGTGTACTTTATGGGCGAAACCGCTTTCTTATACCTGTTACATACATTCCGACGAATCTAGTATACCATATTACTCCACGAGTAACAAGTGTAAAACTGTTGAGCACGTGAAACTTTGGTGAGGAAAAAAACAATTTTTAGTACTGAAATGTATAATTTAGTGTCTGTCAGGCGGCCTCGCTTATCAGAAACAACAGAATTGATTAATGAGTCCAGCCGCTCAGATGATACTAAGCTACCTAGCGTAATAACGTAATAATGTAGCTGACCCTTAGATACGAAGGCCGTATAAAGTAAATAATTTCGTCTCGGCGCTGATTTGCCAAATCACATAAAAACAAAGAATGTCTGCTTCTTTCTTATCAACGTTAGAGAGCTAAAACAACATGATTAAAATGCACTGGCGAGGAACATCGGCATGCGGACAACACGCAAGATTTGCAATGGAGGCTGGCACAGACTGCGAGTCAACAAGACTCGGCGTCGAGCATCAGCCAGAGTCATCCATGATTGCGCTACGCAGAAAGGAAAAACACATAATGGACAGTGAAAGGACATTATCTTCACAAGGATAATGATAAAAAAGCCGTTTAGTCGTCAGGCCGAACCCGTTTTTAACGGTATAGGTAAACAGACATGCAAGTTATCCAACCCGTGAAACTAGGCCGCTTATGGCTTTTGTAAACAATATTTTCAAACTGCATTTGCCTTTGGCTTCGAGGGCCGAACTTGGTTCCCCAGCTAAGTTGAACAAATCAAAATTAAAGTAAGCATCAGCTTACGTTCGAAGCTTAATCAATTGCGCCTTTTCAAACTCTGCATTTGCCTTTGTCTTTGCCCTTGGCGTTGAAGTCCGATCTTGGATCCCAGCTAAGTTAAACAAATTAAATTAAAGTAAACATCAGCTTCCCTTCCCAATCAATTGCGCC